TTAACCGGGTAGATGACCAGAATAGCTGCTTTATGTTTCAACTCCTTGCCTTGTGTTTGCCTGCTACAGGCTAGTGGCAACACATCACATATCTAAGGACATTTTTATCGCCTTGACAGAAGCCGTATCTTAGATGTAACTGGGTAGGGTAGTCGTACCAGAGCTATCTTTAACATTGCTGACTTGGGAGTTGCTGACTGTGTGGTGGCTGAGAGCTCAGCATAAGTGAAGCCCCTAAGTATTTACCTTATTTCTCAGCTGGATTTTGCAGCCCACACTGAGTTCTGCATTGCCACAGCTGAGCTCTTTCCAGAGTTGAAGATGGCTCACTAAGATCTGCTCGACCTGCAGCCACAGTAAAGTAACATAACTGGAAAAAATAGGTCCTTGAACTAGAACTTCCTTATCCAAGGATGATTTTCATGCAGTTTATGGACAGCAATGTCTCTTCCTGTTATTGAGATGCTGTATTAAAACCTTCGTTAATCTGCATGGACAGATCAACTTTCCCAAAGGAGGATTTTTTTTTCACCAAGTTGTTCATGAAAAAAACAGAGTTTGAAAAGTTCTCTCTAATTCCTAATGATACTCAATGAGACCTAAAAATATTTTAAGTAGTACTGGCCATCATTCACTATTATTAAAAATTTAGCATATAGACTGCCACCTGGTCTCACTCCTAGGGAGTTTCTGTAGTAGAAACTACAGAGGCAGACTGAAAGAAATATGATTGCTCTATTGGGTATGGACACACACTTAATTCCAATAAAAAAAATATATTTATTAACATTTCTTCTGTAATGTAGCCCAGATTTCATTCAATATTTCTGCTAAATAAAGTGTATGACATTATGAGGTGCAAGGATGGAGTCTAGTACAAAACGTCCAAGCTACCAAGGATGCAAGTTAAGTCTGTAAGGGTCTTCAACAGCATAGGCCCAAATACAGCATGGCGCTGCACCTGAACTTCTGCTACCAGTATCCTAGACACTAGATAACCGATCAAAAACACACTAACTTCATGAAGAAACATGTCAATGCCTACTTTAGCATTAGAATTATCTAGTGCCTTGAGCTTCAGCCATTTATTAAAACTTTACACCTTTTCCGAGATGATTTGTTACTACAGTTCACAAAATTTAATTACATCCTTAAGATCAAAAGGGCAATACTAATGCATGCCTTATGAACTAATAAAATTTTATGGTTATTTTTCAAGGTTAAATACGTCATGTGATTTTTTTTTTTTTTTTTAATGGAAGGGCAGTCTAAAAATTAAAATGACTAGTAGAAACGTCTAGTTTAAAGGAATGAGGATACCGTTCTGGAATAGCCCAACAGAAAGATTAGTAAGATTGATTCACAAATCAATTAATTTATGAAATTAATTTTGAGATTGATTTATGAAATTTTAAATCCAAATTCGTATTTTACTTAGCAGAAAAATTTGTCTCAAAGAGTGCAGTATTTCAGAATATTCCTATCAAGTCTTAACTGTTAGTTTAAAAGCAGAGATACTGAGACAGAGATGCTAACACACTCTGCCAACTTTGTCCTATCAATCAGCTCCAGAAACAAAGAACAGCTTAACTTAAACTCAGACACACATGCAGTCTTTTTTATTCTTAGATCAGTCCTAATTAGAAGCAATTGTTTTAGCTGCCAGCATAAACCAATAATGTAACTGTTCTTCTTCCTATATAAACCTAATTTCTTGCAAACAGACATAAAACTGACACAACATAGGATTTCACAAGTGGAAGTAACAAACTTTATGACTACTTTTATTCCCTTTCTGTTCAGTTTTTCTCCCTTATATCTAACAATCCTTTACCATTTGGTGCATGGAGTTCTCATCCTCTGCTATTCCCTACCAGTTCAAGAATAAGATTCAGGAAATTAAAGATAATATGGAGACCTACAGAGCAGTCTGGTTTTCTCCCCAGTAGATCAGAGAATTATGACTGGCAAGGTGACTATTCCCAACCTGTTAGGACTTTACTGGCAGGGCAGATAATAGTTACAACATGCAGCTCTACAGCTTGAAAGGCCAGCCAGAATGACCTTTCCTCTCAATATAGGAAAGGAGAATTTTCAGTCACTGAGGGCAGTCAGCCTCACTTCTACTGCCAAGAGGTAGTAATGCCCGGACAGTGGGGAGAGTTGATCAGTGTCCTACCACCTAGGGAAAGGAAACTGACAGATGCAATTTCATGTTCAAATTGCTGCCTCATGCTTTGAAATGAACACTACACATGACATAGTGCAGCAGTTTGAAACAGTATTCCCAACAACAGCATGCCTCAGTGACACAAAAATAGGGAAACTCAGGAAAAAAGGCATGCAAATTAGGTATTTGTTTTAAATGAAGGAACTCTGTAATCATACATAACGTATTCAAGCAATAAATCTGTATGAACTGAAGTGGCAGGCTGACATTCACATACAATTATGCATAGTGTTAAATACCTTATAACTGTGAGTGACATAGTTGATTTCATTTAGGCCATTCGTAGTATACGATAACGGCCAGCTCGATTACAGCTATAGCTTACAAGCCAGGCCAGTTAAGATAACTACTACGTTTACAGCTTAAAATAAAATCACATTTTGGAATCTGCTTATCTATACAGCCAAATGTTCTTCCCAATAAAATGCCAAGGAAAAGATCACAGTGGTATACGGAAAGCTAAGACAGAAGGCATTACAGTACAGTTGTATTGTCAACTCATTGACCTTGTTAAATCTTATAAAGATGATGGGTGCCCTCATGAATGTCCTACAGCTTCCTTGGTTATTCTCTGGGCCTCTGATACACACCATATTTCACCATACACAAAACATATTTCCAGATTAAGACCTAAAAATGTCCTTTTTAGGATCTGTTTTTCATACTGATCTTAATGGACTTACTATGCCTAAGAAAAATACCTGTGTTCAGCAGACAGCACACTTCCAAAGCCTGGCATTTTAACTAGCAAAAAGTCTATCTTTTTTTTTTTAATACTAATTGCAATGGAAAGCTTTGTAGTTGAGCCCCATTACTACGGAGGCAGATAATGAACTCCCTCGGCCAATTTATGGGGTAGAGGTATGGCAGTCTTCCCATTGCAATATGTATGTTTATGGTGATTAATCAAGTAGAAGTCTGAAAAACAAGGATAATATGGCATTTTCTTCCTCTAGTGAACAACAACCCATAATATTGTCCTGCACAGTTGTCCTGGTTTCGGCAGGGATAGAGTTAATTTCCTTCCCAGTAGCTGGTACAGTGCTGTGTTTTGCATTTAGGATGAGAACAATGTTGATAACACACTGATGTTTTAGTTGTTGCTACGTAGTGCTTACACTAGTCAAGGACTTTTCAGCTCCCCATGCTCTACCGACTGAGAAGGCTGGAGGTGCACAAGAAGCTGGGAGGGGGCAGAGCCAGGACAGCTGACCCAAACTGGCCAAAGGGATATTCCATACCATGTGATGTCATGCTCAGTATATAAAGCTGGGGGAAGAAGAAGGAAGGGGGGGATGTTTGGAGTGATGGCGTTTGTCTTCCCAAGTAACCGTTACGCGTGATGGAGCCCTGCTTTCCTGGAGATGGCTGAACACCTGCCTGCCGATGGGAAGTAGTGAATGAATTCCTTGTTTTGCTTTGCTTGCGTGTGCGGCTTTTGCTTTACCTATTAAACTGTCTTTATCTCAACCCACGAGTTTTCTCACTTTTACCCTTCCGATTCTCTCCCCCATCCCACCGGGGGGGAGTGAGCGAGCGGCTGCGTGGGGCTCAGTTGCCGCCTGAGGTTAAACCACGACAACAGTCTGCTAATTTTTTAGATTATCAGAGCCAAAAAAACATCAACAAAGTAAACCTTCAGTTACACAAGTAGTCGTGCTCATGTTCGAGTCAGATTCTGGTCCACTCTGCGCAACTATGCTATAAAGATGCTATCCTATTTTGTGCCACCTCTTAGATCACTGTTCCTAATGCAGGTTCCCTCAAGTCTTCTTTAGCCCAAATTTTATGGAGAGGTGGGAATCATGATCCACTCCACCTCACCCTGCGGACTCCAAAGCTGTATCTTGATATCTGGCCCTTATATACTGTGCCTGATACAGCTTTAGCACCCTTCCAATTCTAGTTCAGCTGTGAAATCAAGAAGGTGCTTCCCTTTATACAGACTAGATGATAGGTAACATGATGTTAGTCAACAATCATCTGTCATTCTTACGTATTTCCCAAATCATGATTCATAATCAAGACAGCACAGGTCGAAAAGCCAATTGCCCATTTCAAATAGGTCTGTGCTGCTGAGAACTGCCATTTGTCAAAGCAGACTCTCAGTCCAATTACGTATAGTGAAATTATTATATTCTGAAATTCCTGTACCAGGTGGTGACTAATGAAGAGTTCAAACAAGGGTAATGGAAGAGAGCATATAATTTTGGAGAACATGCATAATTCTATTGTTTTTTAACTACTGTAACTCATTGCTTTTCAAACCTGTATAACACAAACAGCAGTCTGCCAAACTGTCATTTAATATTTCTATCCATTCTCATTCACTGTTTCATTTTCAAAAACGAGCAGATCTTCCTTTATGTAACATGGAAATACAGAGTACTTTAAATTTTGAATCAGTTGTATAATGCTGTTGCTAAGCACTTCATTAAAAACAGAAACAGGTTGGTAAATGGATTACTGCAAAAGGCTGGGCTTAAAGAAATTCGATTTCTAATTTGGCTTTTTGCAATCTTCTTATCTTTATCTAGGAAATTATTTAAACCTCTGCTTTGTTTTCCCTTCTACAGCATTTTGCTATTAATCTTTATTCTGATATTAAGCTCTTATGGTAGCTAACGGAAGACTATAATCACGCTGTGATAAGTAAACAGAGTACTGTATTCTTAAAAATATAAACCTATACCTTCTATATATAATTCTACACCCTCTATAACATTACACTTACACCAAAGACTATGTAAAGGATTATTTGGTGATTTACCTGGTCTTGAGGAAGGTACTCTTGCTATCTCTAGGGAACAAGGTTTTTTGGTCACTGCTATGTCTATCGAATCACAAAGACTGCTGTCATTTTCTGAAGGAACTGCATCCAGAGGTACAGAGGGTATTGCTTCCAATGCATAACCTCTCTTCTTTGAGTAAGATTCCTGAAATGCAAAAATTTAAGTAGGTAAGAGAGAGATTTCTCAGATGACACAGGAAAAGAACCAGGTTCAATAACTCTGGCTAGCAGGGTTTAAAATTCAGCAAATTAAATACCGCATTCTGCTGAAATCCAAATTGTAACAGACTGGAAGGATTACTTGCACGCTAGAAGATAACATTTCTTGCTTCTTTAAATTTTTGTGTAATTAAGTTCTTTTTTAGTTACAGAAATGTCTTTATTCATCAAACTTTGTATTTAGCAAAAGCTCCAACATAACTGGTCTTGCCATACCTGCTTTGCTAGGTTCTAATAAAGTGGATATCTCTTATTCAATTTTTTTAATTATATCTCATGAAAGTGACAATTACATTAACCACTGCAATTACTTTCTCTTTGGGGATGGTTTTACAATATGTTTATATTATATATAAGAAAGCTAAAGATATGCCGTCTAAATTTTGATGGCAGAATCCCAGGTTGTAAATGAAAATGAATTACTGCTCTATATTTGAGTGCACAGCAAATGGCTCAAGGTCCCTTAACAGTAATACGTATAGTGAATTCCCATCATTAGCAAATGTTGAGGGAGGGAAAAAAGGAATTAGTCAGAAGTTTTGCTGGTACACTAAACTGTCCAATCAAGCAGACTGTCTCTGCTTTAGAACATGAAGAATAAGATACCATACAGTTTCACCAGAGATTCTTGATTTGTGATTTTTTTTTTTTTTTAATCCTGGCAGAAAGCAATTGCATGGGCAAAGACATATTTCCACATCTTTATTACATTGGACATACAGGTGCCTGGGAAAGTCAAGCACCGCACATAAATCAAATATGATATAATAAAATGCAAAGGGCCATAAAGCACCCTGACGGTTAGATATTATCATAGCACTACTCAGAAAATGGTTGAAGAATGTGATGAAGAGAACAGGATGTGGAATAACAATTTCTTCAACAAGAACAACTCATATTGCCCAAGGTAAACTATGGCTGTAGATAACAGTCCCTTTTTTAGGTAAATGATTTATACTGTTAGTGGACCACTACACTACCGAACTTTTTGCAGTTTTTCCTGCTCGTTGTGTCGTGACCTGATTTTTATGAATGTTCATAATCTGGTAATAATTCAAGGCCTCTCAAAGGATAGGGTTGAGATGGCAGCAACAGGAGCTCCCCTTCAAAATTCTACTTGATGATTTCAATAGAACCAAATTTTAAATGACTCCTATGTTAACCCACCACTGAATAAAGAACTTGAAAATGAATACTGGAAACAGTTAACAGGGAAAAAATCATACAAAATAAAATAAACAGAATACTAACAAGCATTTGTAATAAAAAATGAGTATGTACTAGCAAACAATGCAAGATTAGCAGTCAGTGTTCAAAAAAACATGCCTAAAAGAGGAATGTGATTGCATCTCTACCTTTTTTACCCTTTCCTCTTTATGTCTAGTCAGAGTATGAGCTCTCTGTATTAGCAATTTTACTGATATATCTAATAGTTAACTAGTTTCAGCTAGCAGACTCCAAAGACAGAACAAAGTTTGTAAGTGGGCTTACTGCAGCTCCAAATACAACTTTTTAAACTTCAGCCATCTCATTCCTTAAATGAAGTTAACAGAAAATTATTCCTGCAGCCCACATCCTGTAAAAAAAAAAAAAAAAGCTTTTTTATTTTATTTTACATCCTGCAAATAACACTTGCATAAAACGAAGCATGGATATTAGGAAGAGTACAAGTGAAATCAAGAAGTTTATAAATACAGAGTTTTATTACTGGAATAAATGTGCATGAGTTGAAACCTTAGGTTTAAATTAGAGATGATTTTAAAAACCTTGTAATGTATAAATAACAGCACTGTTAACTCTGTACTATATTCCTGCCTTTTTATCACAATAAATATAGAAAATATTTCTTCCTAGACTGCACTGTGTAATGTGGAGGCATCGAAGTGGCTGAAGTGCAACTGCAGGACAAGAGGAGGATTCCTTCCTACCTTGAGAAAAAGGAATTTCTACCTTGTCCATTTAAGTCTGCTGCAAAAAGACAGAGGCAAAAATTTATTTACCAAAGCAATGACTAGAACAGCAGACTTCAATTTAGTCCTTGTACATACAAGTTTCTATAAGAGTAAATCAGAATGTCAAAACCCTAGAGTAAATCTGCCTAGAGGAGCCCATGAAGAAATAGTGCCGCCTTAAAATTGTCACCAAACACCGAAGTGAAACCCTGCTCAGCTCCTTAATTCAGCTACAGAAAAAAGCCATTAAAAATTGATATATGAAACATAAGAATAGACATTGGCTGATAGTTTATATCTATGTCACCCAATATTCTGTCTACAAAGGCAGCCAACAGTGCTGGCCTAGAGAACAGTGAGACAAGCACAAGACCAGGACAAGCATGTAGTAGTACTTCTCCTCCTACAACCCTTTGAGGGTCCCACACTTCAAAATCAAAAGGTGCTTTGTTTTGCATGTCCACCAATCAAACTTTCAAAAATTACCTTCTCAAGTTGCCTTTAGAGCACATGTCCCTTTTTACAGTTTGCATGCACCCCATTTTGTTTTTAGCTATCTCACCAAGTTTGACATCCCTAATTCTTGTACTTTAGAAGGCAACGAATGGTTGTTCTTTACTTATCCTCTCCTTGTGATTTCACAGACCTCTATCCCACTTCCCTCTGTCCTCTCCTTTAGGGAATGAGAAATTCTAATCTACTCACCCAGCTGTTCCAGCCTTTTGACCATCCCTGTCACCCCTCACCCTCTCAGTCTTCAGTGATGTGACAGGGATCAGATTTTCACATGGCATTCAAGATGAGGGCTCAACAAGTATTCATACTGACATAATGATGTTCCCTCTTTTGTACTCTACTCTTTTCCTAATTGCTCTTAACATTCAATTTGATTTTCTGAATGTTATTCAACATTCTGTAATTAACATTGCAAGAATATAAATGTCAGAGAAGAATAAAAAAAAATGATGGGGTTACTGAGAATATGGTTGGAATGTAAATTACTGACAAGTATATTCTTCCTAAATCTCTCCCTAATAAAGCAAATATGATAATAGTATGCCAAGCAGAACTTAAAAAGAATTGTTAATACTTTAAAAAGTCTGGAATCCTATCAACTGATTAAGTGAAGATGATAAGCCTTAATTTAAAAGTGCATATGTAGTAAAAAAGACAAACTTCTCATTGCTGGAGAAAAGCAATGTAAAGTGTTCTGGTTGCTGCACTGTGTTCTCCATTTTGCAGGTACTGAGCATATTCTAGAAATTTTTAAGCTCTAAACTAGTTCAAGTTAGATGTTAGCAGATGACATAAAATTGTCTTCAAGTATCAGGCATCAAGCAATGTGATTCTGTTTTTTTCTAAGATTAAAAGCTCTTCAGCATTCTTCTCAATAACATCAGTTCTGTTGTCTCACCTCACCCACTGCAATGAGCAGTAACTCTACAGTAATCCTACATGTCCTAGATATTTTCATCTGCATAATAAAAACTTCTAAAGAAATACTCTTCCATTACAGTTGAATCTTTAGTCCGGAAATCAAAATAATCTGAATTTAATTCTTTTAAATTAAATTAGAGATTATTCAATCACTAACTTCTGTAAACTATTCCAAAAAGTTGAAGATGACACATGTAGCTGACTACCACTATTAAGTCAGAATTAGTTCTTATTTGAAATTACAACTTCATAAAAGTAATGTGCTGGGCTGCCAGTACATTAAAATAAGTATTTTTGTGGAAAGGATAAAAATACATACACAATAGAAGTGAGAGAAAAAGAGAAGAGTGAGAGTGGGTGAGTCACTGGGAAAGCATTAGAGAACAGTTGCCCGTACTGATAAAATATAAATTAGATTTTTGCCTTGTAGAAAGAAACAGCAATGTGAGATTGAAGTTGCAGAGCACATGCCAGGGACGCACCATGGCCCTTACTCAGAGGCTTCCAGCCAGCTGGGTCTCTTCTGAGCATATGCTCATGTAATACCTATCATGAAATCTGAAGCCTAAACAGGACTAGAAAATAGAAAGGGGGGGGAGAGGGGAGGATGTGATTGTTGATCAGTGGGAATGAATTTGCTTCTGAAATATTTATATGGCAATTGCAAATGGTTATATACAAGTGTGAAACAATATTCCATAACATGAGTAAATCTTCAAAAACTACATGACGTTGAGTTAGGCCTTTTTTCCACATTTCTGCCAAGCTTCTAGCTACTCTTGCTTCTGCCTTCTAGATAGTCTTGCATTCCTTATAAGAATCAGTCTGAATGATGTATGCTCAAGGACTGAGATATAAGCAGCATACACAAATTTGTGTTTGTATGACCTAAGAATAAAGTGATAGAGGCTCAGTAGGCATCTAATCTGAACTGACATTTTGACGAGAAGATAGAATTTGTATTTAACTGAAAATTTTTCATACCATCCATGTCCTTTCCTATAGAAATCAGGTCAGTTGAAGTTTTATTACTTCCCTGGAACATGGGACAACACGTCACAGTCAGACATGACTGCCTGATGAGCAACAGCAGAAAAACTGTTCTTTAAAGATGTACTGTTACATCTCATTCATGACAGTGATAATACTTGTAGGTATGTTGTGTCTCACCAGGCAATTATTAACTTATTTATAACTTAAAAATTCTAAATTTATGAACAGTTGTCTTGACCTCCTGGAGTCTAGACTATTCACAGCTGAAGGCCACACCGTATCCTGCTATTTGAAAACTTACTAGATCTGGATTTGCTTAAGTCTCTCTGATACATGATTTCCTTGTCATTAAACACTAACTGTCCTCACAGTTTATGTAAGACACCTAATAAGAATCACAAAGGTTAGAAGAAATAGTTATTTTAGCCCTAAGGCACTTTTTTGGAAAGTATGGGGAGCAAGAATGCCCCTATGCATATTTATACTTGAAAATATAAGTTAAGGACACTGGTTTAGAAAAAGAATGGTTAGGGGGCAGTTTCAA